CAGTGTTTCTTGAGATGGTGAAGCCAACTTTGGTGGGAGCAGTGCTGTCCTTAGAAGGCCATAGGGCAGGCAGAGCTCCCAGCACCCCTCCTTTGTCTGATTGTTCTAGGCACCCAGCTGTGCTCTCCTATTCCTTCCAAGACCCAGAGATCTAGGTCTTTGGGAGGTGGGGAGAGGTAGCCCCAACTCCTGGACCCCTTTTCAGCACTGTCACACCCAATGGGACTGTGCCCTCAGTTGCTATGCCTCTGTCTCCCCTGTCTCTTAAGCAGGCCTCCCTTTGTTCCCTGGCTTCTAAGTCTCGGGGCAACAATCTAGGGTGGTCATTGTTGGGGCAATAGAGTAGGGAAGTGACAGGCTAGGACATCCAGCTGCCCTCTGTCTCCCTGGTGATCAAAGGCAAACTACAGAGCAGAGGCCTCACCACCAGCCTTCGCAAGACAGGGCTCCCATCTCTGCCAGCCCTGGGCTTTGAGGGGGCTGCATGTCCACGCCTTTGAATTCCAGGTCCCCAAATCAATCCCTCCTGGTGTTGGCTTGAAGCTGGAAAAAGGATTCAACAAGGCAGAAGCCAGAAGCCCCTAGAAAGCCTCAACCTCCCAGTCCGAGTCAGTCCTCAGCTGTGCCATGCAAGGCCACTGGACAGGGGAAGAGACCGTTCCCTGGCCCCATATGTGCACTAGATGTCCTGAACTCTGAAGAGCCCTGGCTCCTGTGTCCTCTGTGGTCCTGGATGCCAGGTCACCAGAGTCTTATAAGGCAGTGCTGGAAGGAGGTGGGCCCTGAAAGATCTGTTCCTTAAGTGTTGGGGTTTAAGATGGTCTGAGCCACAGAGCACAGAGGTCTTGAGAACTGCCAAAGGGCAATGTACTCTGAGAGTCAAGGTCACCAGCTGGTAACAAGGGCAAACCCATTTGACCCACCTCTCCCACAGTGAATACCCTGAAGAGAAATGCATTCTTGACTTTTCCCGAATTCTTGTCTAGGGTTGAACCAGAACAGACGCCAATTCTCTCCAGAATTATTGTTTCCTCCTCCAGGTAACTACACTTCCCTCCCCTCCGAAAAGCAGTGTGAAGCTCATCAGCTTCAGGAAGATCTCCCAGAGCAGGCCCAGCCCCACTGCTTTTTCTTTTCCTCCATGACTTTCTGGGTTCCACTGATGTGGCTTGAGGGGCTCCCACGTGGCTGGGTAATTGGTCTTTTCATTTATTGCACAGATTGCCAAGTCCCTGACCCCTCACAAGGACTCAGATCATGGTATCTGTGAAACGTTTGCATCTTCTCTGAGCCTGCTGCTCGGCCCTCCTCACTGGGTAACAATCCCACTCATCCCACGGTTCTTGGTGGTTCCAACGAGCCTCTTCGTGGCTCTCAACAACTCGAGTCAGGCAGGCTTTGGGACATCCATGTTACAGGGGAGCAAACTGCAATCTTATTTTCAGATACAAGTGGATTCAAAGTCACTCAAGTCAAAAAAGACAAAGATGGACACTTCATATTGGTCTAGAGAATAACGCAGCCAGAGAGCATTTCAATTCTAAATATTATTGCACTCAACTTACATGCTCCCAGATTTATGCAAGTTCAAGTCAGAACTTGAACCCAGGGCTCACCGATAAAAGGGGAACCCTGCTATCAAAGATAGAGGAGATTAATAAAATGGGTAGTAACACCATATTAATAGTGTAATACCTGGGTGGAGAACCTCCAAGGTGTTTTTAATGTCCTTTGTAGCGCTTTGACCCTGGAGGTAACAGCAAAGGTACTGATGACTCCACTTTATATTGGAGGAAACTGAGGCTAAGGTGGCTTTTCAACACAGCTAGCAGGAGGCCCAGCTCACCCATGGCTAGGAAAGACTTCATTTTGCAGCAAAGGAAACTGATGGGAAAGCTGGGGTTCACCCAAACCCACACAGCAAGAGCGAAGAGGGAACACCTACCCCACCAGGCTGCCTCCACACTCAGCTCACAGGCAGGAATCCACTTTTCTGGATAGTGCCACGGAGCTCACCCCCATCAGTCCCTATCACCCCAAGGCCTTCAGGAAATTCAATCGCAGTATCACCTGCTCTGCCATCACTGCGCTGGCAGGTGCCCCACTGTTGTGCAACCAAGGCACGAGGCTGGGGCTGGCTCCATAAAATCAACAGCCAGTTGGCTTGAGCTGGCTGATTCTGCTCCCCCGGAGCTCAGTGGTGACAGCAATGAATCACACTTGCCGTGAGAGGTGGCCATTCCTCCTCTTTGTGGCCTGGAGACAGGTATTTCCAAAGCTCCTCCCCTGGCTTACATACCTGACTTCTCTTTTCTCTGGCAGGGCCCAAGGCGAGGCAGAGAAACCAAGGGCAAGGTGGGGTGAACCGGACAGAGCTGGAGAGCTCTCCCACCCCCACTCTGCCAGCCAACGATCCTGGGGAGGGCTCTCCTGCCCAGAGGAAGGGGACATGAGCCCGGTGACCTTGAGGTGTTCTTCAGCCTGGCATCCCCCTCACCCACCCTTTCCCCTTCCATGCTGCTTGCACGCTGCCTCTGACTCTCTTCCAAAAACAATTTGGCAAATTCCAATCTACAACCTGCAAAAACCCCAGAGGGGGAAGGGTGGCAACACCTGGGGACCCAGAAGGCAGACTAACTGACCTATTTTTATAGTGGCATTAAGTAACATAAACACCCCCATGCAAAGAGACTTGGAAATCTTTGCAATAGAATTACTGGGGGTGGGTGGGGGGAGCTGGGAGGCAAAGTGTGTAGACCTGAGGTCACTGAGACCAGGAGACTTGGCATTACCTTCTGGGCAATGGCACGGCAAGGCAGTGTTCCTATTTAACCAAGCTACATTGCCCCGTTAAATCAAATCACAAATATAAGTGTCAGGTGCCTGGAAGTTGAGTGGACAGACTGACACTGCCTTGCCCTCTGGGAATTTCAGATCATTGTGAGTTCCCAACAAGTAGATCTAGGTGAAGTCCTTAGCCCAGCAAGCGCTCAATAAATGTCAATTGCTGGTATTGTTTTTTGTTTTTATTACTGCTATTTTGATGATCAGTTTCTTTGGCTGTTCTTTATGTATCTTGTTTCCAGACCACTTGCTTCCCACGTGAACCGCTTTGGGGCACAGTCTAGCTAGCTGATGTCCTGAAGAGACAGTCATGTTCCAGACATGGTTTTGTGAGCCTCGGCCTTCTCCAGGAGGCCAGGCCACAAGCGATAGAGCACTGTGGACAGCCAGCCTCGGGTCAGTTCCTAGCAGCACCTCCCAGCTGTGTCACTAGGCCTGGTCACTACTGTATGGGAGAAAATCTGTAAAATGGGAACATCTACCTTTGCACAGAATAAAAGTGAGTTACCAGGAGGAAAACTAAGTGGGGGCTTAGGCTTGGGTAACATAGAGATAATCGTTTTACACACAGGCTAGAGATGGTAACGATCACAACTATCACTCCCTGTTATTAAGTTATTATGAGAAAAATCAGAACCTGCCCACTGGACCGCCTTAGCACTTAACTTGAAGTTTAATGCTTTGTGTTTAGTAATGTGTGGGGAAGCTCAATCTTTTGTGTGCCTGGGGCCTCTAAAGGCCTCCTGCTGGCCATGCTTTAAACGTGCCATAGGCCTATGAACACCCTGAAGCCTGAAGAGTTTTCCTGAACGGTGTTCATTACCTTACTTACCAGGTCTAAGCCTGACCAGAGATTTTGTAACCACCATGATCACTGAGTTGATATGTTAAACTTGATCTCAACTATGAAGCTGGAGCCTTTTCAAAGACTGGAGGGACCAAAGTCAGAACCAATGTGCCAGAGGGGGCCAGACAGGGTATGGCTGGACCAGAAGGGCCAATTAGATGCCCTGTCCTTGTGGTTCTAAGACTCAGAACAACGTGCAGAGGCAGATCCTATGAGGATTTTTCTAGAGACCCTAGATGTTCCAGGCATTCTGATAGAACAGGCAGGGGGCTGCACATGGGCAACCTCTGAGCAGAACCTACCCATAGCTATTTGTTTAGCCAACAGTACATCTAAAAAACTGAGTTGGAACGTCTTTGGGAGGACCCTCTCGGTGACTCCAGGCCTCTATGCCCCAGTTATTGTTACTATAGCTGATTCGCAAATGGACATTATCTGCCTGGCCCCTACAGTTTGGAACCCAAGTAAAAAGCATGAAGTATGAATGTAAAGGCAAGAACCAAGTGCGACCAGGTAAGAAAAAGTAAGGGACTCATTCAACCTACAGTCTCACAAAGAGGGGGTATATGATTGAGATTAAGATGTCTCTTGTTTCTAGGCAAGGGCTAGGCTAAAGGTGAGGGCTTTGAACATAACCCACTCATGTGTCTCCTTTTCAAGTTGTTAGGCAGTGCCAGAACTGACCAAAGATGGCCAGGCTCAGTGGCTCACACCTATAATCCTAGCACCTGAAGCAGGTGGATTGCCTGAGCTCATGGGTTCGAGACCAGCCCGAGCAAGAGCCAGACCCTCATCTCTAAAAAAAAAAAAAAAAATAGCAGGGAGTTGTGGCGGGCACCTGTAGTCCCAGCTACTTGGGAGACTGAGGCAAAAGAATCACTTGAGCCCAAGAGTTAGAGGGTGCTATGAGCTATGATGCCAGAGCACTCTACCAAGGGGGACAAAGTGAGACTCTGTCTCAAAAAAAAGAACTGCCCAAAGAACTGTCCAGGCCAGTGACCACTCTGTCAAACCACTGTGACTCCCTTTCTCTTTCCAAGACAATGCAAAATATACAGGTCCTGCTGTGAGACGCAGCTGTCTGCCTCTTGATGGAGGGGGAGGGAGAAGGAAGAGCAGAGGGTCCAAGGTGGAAGAGGGGAGAGGAATGGAGGGAGGAGGTGATTGTAAAAGCCGCTGAAATAACACTTCCCTTCCTCCCTCTGACCCAGGACACACTCCCACTCCGTTTGTCCCTTTAAGTGCCACGGGCCCTACAAATACTCAAGTGCTTTTACAGAAAGGAAAACACCTCAGTGCCCCTAGGAAACAAATGATAGTTTATTCCTTGTTTCTGTTGAGAGGATGGATCACGATACAGAGAACAGCAGCCTGGTCACAGCAGCACGGTGTGGTTAGTTTCCAGGGGAACATGGAGGACAGGAAAGGCAGGATCAGGTTCAAGTTCCCACTCTCATTATGACCTTGGACCTTTCACTGTTCCCTCTGGGGCAGGGCAGGGCTGCAGGGCTGCGGGAGCCCCTAGGTCTCTAACCTCCCTTCTGCACTGCTCTGACCACTGACAGGCAGAGCGATGGATGCAGGGGTGGTCTCTGTGCCTGACCAGGGGTCTCCCATGCCAGCCCCAGCAGAGTGGGAATCCCTCAGCCAGTGTCTGCCAGAGACCAACTTCAGGGACAGGAGTCTGAGTCCAGGTGAGCTGGGCTACAGATTGAAGTCTTGGAACCAGGGAAGGTCAAGGGGGAAGGGTTCCAGAGCCCATGGGGTTATTGCTGAGAAGATATGAAAGGGGAGATTTCCCCAGGGGCAGAGTATTAGCCCTGGGCCCGGAATTCTGGGTGCTCTGCAAAGGGTCAGGGCAGATGGGGACTCCCCAGAGGAAGGCCCTGGGAGGCGAATGAATGACCACAGAAGGGTGCAGCCCGCCTGAGGCAACACGGGGCTCACCTACTCCTTGCTTTTTGTCCCCAATTGCTAAGAGACCTTCAGAACAGACGGGGTCAAATGGAAGCGAGGTTCTTGTAAAAGAAGTGAAGAATGATGTAAACCTTCCCAGGTCCCAAGACCACTGGAGACTCCCGCCCGTGCTCTCACCTTATACTCAACCTTAAACCTGGACAAGGGGCTGGTCTGGCAGTGGGAGCTGATGGAGGGCCACAGCGATCAGGGAGCCAATGGTGACAAGGCTCATCTCCCGCCCAGGGAAGAGAGTCTACAGTTCACTAACACAATTATCATCCATGAACGAGCAGCCACAAAGACCACAGTCGGCAACACACACACACAGAGACACGTCACAGGAGATGGACGGGGCTGTAGGCTGCAGTGGGCGGGGGCAAGTGTTAGTCACATCGTTAAGTTGAAGAATGGTATTAGAGGGCATGGGGCAAGGCCTGGGGGCACACACAAGTTCTTGGCTTCTCCTGGGGAAAGGTCTGTTGCTGAAGTGGCCGGTTTTCTTAAGCATTGACGTTTGCAACTAAAGGTTCAAGCAGCTGCCTTCAGGTTCCGGGAGGCTGAAGAAGGAGAGAATTTAAGTTAAAACAGAACTGTGGCTCCTTTCAGGGAACCTTACCTGCTTCTCTTCCCCCTTGAGCACAGCCCCCTTGGCCACCAAAAATCCTGGGATGACAGCCCTCCTAAGCCCACGTTCCCAGTGAAGCCAGGAGGATAAGGCGGAGGTACAGAGAAAGAAGGCAGAGGGAGGAGGTGGACCTCCAGGGAAGGGCTCTCCCAGGCGGGCTGGGTACTGGCAGACATGAAAGAAAATTATTAGGCCCAGGACACCCCAACAGTTGCTGGCAGTCTTGAAACTTAGGAGAACAGGGCTTTAGAGAAAGACCTAGTTTGAAAAGAAAGAAAAGACATTTCACCTGGAGGCTGCCCCCTTTGAATATCCCCATCCCATTCCCAAAGATGCTCAGCCTGACCTGCCAGCTGAGGAAGAGGACAGAACACCAAGGTCCCAGGAAGGACCCCTGCCTCTTCCACTGGGATCTCCAGCCACCTCACACTGAGGCCATCGCCACCCTCAAAAGCCCTATCCAGAAAAGGGGAGGAAAGAACCCGGCTCTGTCTACCCCAGGGCTGTTAGGAGGATGTAGAAGCCCTCAGGACAGAATCAGGTGCTACACAGGTGCACCATGTTGCTATGATCACAGCAAAAGCTGGTGCATCGGGCACTTTATCAACCAGAAATCTCCTTTAACTTACGATTTAGGATAAAGTTATATACCTGTCTATTAGGACTTATTTGTATGGGGGGAAAAGGCAGGAGTGAGCTGACAAAAGACTGGGTTTTTCCCTTAGATTATTCCAGGACGTGTCATAGAATGAGACAGATAGGACACAGGGAGTAATGGAAATGGCAATGGACAGTCATGAAGACATGAGTTCAAGGTCAAGCCCATCACTAATCATCCATAAGGCTACTCCCTCTGACCCCTTCATCTATGGAGTGGGGCTAAACCCCACCCGTCTTATTTCTGGTGCAAGTTTGTGCGTGTGGTAGCACTTTGAAAACAATAAAGCAGGCCAGGGTTTGGTGGTTCACACCTGTAATCCCAGCACTCTGGAAGGCCAAGGAGTTCAAGACCAGCCTGAGGAAGAGTGAGACCCTGTCTCTACTAAAAATAGAAAACCTGGGCATGGTTTTCTATTAAATGGCTGGTTTTCTATAAATAAAAATAGCTGGGCATGGTGGCAAGTGCCTGTAGTTTGCTACAACCTAGCTGGCCTATAGATGCCAGCTACTTGGGAGGCTGAGGCAAGAGGATCCTTTGAGCCCAACAATTTGAGGTTGCTGTGAGCTATGACCCCAGGGCACCAGAGTGAGACTCTGTCTCAAAAAAACAAAAAACAAAAAACAAGAACAAAACAGTAAAGCACTTACCAGTTACTACTCTCCAATGTCTCTGCCAATGAACAATGGAAATGGATACTAAAAATAGGGCCCCTAAATTGTCGAGAACTGCTAACACTGGTTTGGGGATGGACGTGTCATATGCTACTCATCTTACTTTTGGGTACAGCTGAAAAGTGTCATAATCACATGTTTTAGAAAAAAGTGGCCTAAGGTATTTTCTGAAAGCCATTATCTTATGCTACTTTGATACCAGGAGGATTTCACTAACCCTAATACTCCCACGTGGCAGCTGGGTGGTGCCCTATGAACCTGGCCACTGGGCTTCGTGGAAACCCTATTTCCTGATATTTTACATGTTCATGCAGGGGACACCTTGGGTGTTTCTGGTCCTGGTTGACCTCATTGCCCCATTCAGACTCCTAAAAGGCTTCTCAGAGTGGGATTCAATTAAAAGCTGCAGCCACTGCCCAAGCTGGCCTGATACTTCCCACCTGACTCCCCTGCCCAGACCTTGATGAAGACAGTGACGAGGACAGGGAAAGGTCCAGGCACAGAGCACCTCACCTTCCCACCTGAGGGCTGCACTTCAGTTCTCCGCTTTCTGGGGCTCTGTTGCTGGGAAAAAAAAAAACAGAATAGATTGTAATGAAAAGACCCCTCACCCTCGGGGGCCGGCCCCACTGCAGCCAGGCCTGTGCCTGACTCTGGGGGAACAAAGAAGTGACACACATAGGAATTCGAATCAGGACCCAGGTGGAAATCTCTGCCCTGCGGCATGCTGGATATAGGAACCCGGGCGTGCTCCTTACCCTCTCCGAATGCCCTGGTTGTAAACACATAGGCAGTGATGCCTGTCTCATGGGGCTGTGGGCTCTGTAAGTAACAGCTGTCACCAGTAGCAGCCTTTTTGGTGGAGGGCAGGGACAGAAAGACCCTGGAGAGCCCTCTCCTGGCGCCATAGGAGCAGGCCTGGCTGCTCCAGGAAGGCCCCGGGTACCTGGCAACAGTCCCTCCCTGGGCCACATGAGGGGCCTCTCCCAATGTTCTGTCTGGGCAGGTGGTCAGGGACAGTTACCATTTGCAGTGATGAGGTTCTCCACTGGGGCTTCCTCATCTCCTGGAGCCCTGCAAGAGAAAGAGACAGACACACGGCCCCATCAGGGGTCTCCAGGGCAAACCCAGAGATTATCGCCACTTGCCGTGCCGGGACAGGGCCGCCTGGGATGTCACCTCCAATCCCCTGAGCACCCTCTACAATGGGGTGCATGGGGTGGAGGGAGACATCGGGACTGAAGGGCCAGAATCAGAGGGAATTTACAGGCATGATCTATGTCAGCCCTGAAAAGAACAAAGACCCAGGAAGCAATGCTCTAGGGCCACATGGGGCTTTCATGTGTCCTGCCACAGAATTTGGACAGATTAATGGGATGTGATCTTTAAGGAATCCAAGTGTCTACTCAGCTCAAAGAGCTCCATGAGCAGGTGACAAGTGGGGACAGTGTCACAAGAACTATAGAGAGGACATGGGCCTCAAGGGAAACCAGGAAGCCCTCTGCTTCCCTTCTCCCAAACTCAGCTGATTCAACAGCCTCCAGACAAGGTCCCAGACCCTGCTTGCCCACCCCCACCCCCCCATATACATCAGAAGAGGCGGGATGGGCTAAACTCTCAAAGTCTTGACCTCTCTTTGTCCCAGGCTGCTTGGCAACTTTCAAACTTCTATTCCTACCCCTTCGACATACACATTGTTTCTGGGACAAGAGTCCAGGAGGGTACCTTTTAGGGTCACACACACCAGGGGCCCCTCCCCGTCCCTCTGATTATCCCCCCAGATATCTGCTGCCGTGGGATCCTTACCGGGGCTTCTGATTGAAACTGCACTTGCACCTGCGACCTGAAAGGTAAAGAAACCATCCAAGGTCATGCTCCCAGCGTAAGCTCAAAGTCATGTTCCCAGCTGGGCCATGCAGGGCTGCCCGGAGTGTAAGTGGCACCGCTAGGCCTGGCAGTGCATTGCTCACTTGCACAGCTGTATGCAGCAGCCCTAGGTTGGGGTAGGGGCCTTCTAAAGCAAAGGTAGGCACAGTCTAACAGCTCAGTGTATACCACCTCAATAGAGCAGCAGGCTTGGTGCTGACCAGGCTCCCCTGGGAAAAACAAACGCAGACGCACTCCTCTCGGAGCACACTCAAGCAGCACCTGTCACCTATGTCCTGCCTGGCCTGCCCGTGCCCTATGCATACAGCACTGGAAGGCCACCCGCCCCTTCTTTTCTATGCTTTGTTGTCACGTGGCATTTTCTTTGAATTTGCTTCAGTTTGACTAAACACTTACTATGCTCCCAGCACCATAGTGGCTCCTGAGAATAACAGAAGACAGTCTCCTGCCATTTCCAGCAAAGGGAATGACCGGGCTCTTACACCATCCCCACCTGCCTAGCAGACTCAGTCTTTGCCCTTCTAGAGAGAACACAGGAACAGAAAGACTTACTTAGGATAAGGAGGATCCCAACTGAAAAGAGGACCACAGCAAACACCAATCCACCAATCCTCAGTGTCTGGTAGTCTGGTGAAGGAACCAAGGTGAGAGGTAAGAAGGGCCAGGGCCAGGGCCAGGGCCAGGGCGACAGTGTCTGTCCCTTCCCCAGACAGGCCTGCACTCCCCCGGCCCCTGCACCCAGGCTTGCCACTGTCCCCACTGCTCACCATAATGAAAAGGGTCCATTTCATTCTCCTGCTCAGCTGCTGCAAAAAGAAACCGATGTGGTCAAGAGGAAGAGAGAGCTACACATCCTGGCCCCCAAACATGTGACGTTGCCTCCCAGACCTCAGTGCCCACAAAGGGGACTCCTGAGAAGCAGGGCCCAGGAGTAACTGGCGATAACTGGAGACACAGGGAAGGGTGGGCCTGCCACTTAGAGTCAACCAGAGGGCCTAGCAGAAGTAGGGCACAGAGCCCCATTGAGGTTCTGTGTCAAATTTACTTATTGCTCTCTTTGGTGATTCTTATACCACCCCCCCACCCCCCCAAAGCAGGGTCTACTCTCCTCTTTGACAGGTGGAGAAACTAAGGGAACACGACTTGCATAAGGCCAGAGGTGATACTTATGGTCTAGTGACTGATGTGCAGGTCTGAGTCCCAGGGTCCAGGCCAAAAGTCCATGGGGGGCAATGGGGTTGAAGGGCTTAAAAGGAGACCCTGCTAGACCCTTGTTGGGACAGATGGGCAGGCTGGGTGGGAGTCTGTGAAGAACCTGAGAGCTTCCAAACCCTAATGTCCCAAAGGGCCAGAACCTTCCGCCAGAAAGGGGTGTGAAAGGACTTGTCACAGCCAGGTCCCAGAGGGGTACTTACCACTGGCCAGGACCATGGGGGCCAGCAGGCTGCACAGAAAGATCAGTACCACCTCCATCGTGTCTGAGGACAGAGGGAAAAAGAAAATGATTCTCTGGTTAGGAGGACCTCTGACTCCAACCATCAGCCTGACCAGGGCTGAATGAAACCCCCAGCCCTACTCAGGACCCGCAACTTGGGGAGAGTTCACACAACCTAAGCAGAAGCAGATAAAGACATCCATTGGACTCTGAGAGGAGGCTGTGCTTGCGTTAATTCAATTAACACAATTAAATTAGCACAATTAACAGGCACGGTAACCAGCCCGTGTTGCAGGCCAAGAACTCAAAGCTTAAAGAGGTTAACTAACACTCAGCAGAGTGGGTAGCAGGAGCTACCTCACAAAGTAGCTCTTGCACCAGGCTGTCTCTGGGCTGAAGCCAGATAGTCATAAGGACTTCAGAGGTGATCTCATCTAGGTCCTTCTCTCCAGGCCACCCCATGGGGCCAGCTCTAGTTCATTAAGACATCTGGGACTTCCTTGCCGGTTCCCACAGCCAACCCTTCTTCAGAAATTTCTTGTTGTATCAGATTAAATGCAACAAGTAAGCTAATGCCTACCTTATCTTGCCAGCCTGGTGGGCAGTGAGACTTGTATTTCCTAGACTCTCTAAGATAAACCTGAAAATGCTGACCTCTCTCTCTATGGTGCCTCTCACATCCCACCTCTAAAATGCCCAAGCCAACTCTTCTCAAAGGCTTTTACTTCAGAATCCTCCAGAAAGGTGGTTTGTTTAAACAAAAGGAGTTTGGTCTCTGAGCATCAGAGCCCAGTCTCTCCTTCCCCACAAGATGCTGAGTCCTCTGCTCTGGAGTTCATCAAGTCCTGGCCTCTGGAGTGGGTGGCCCCTGGGTGGGCTATCCAGGCAGAGGCAATGCCAGGTGGTCCTACCCACAGGTGTTTTCAACGGTATCACACATCCCTCACTCCCGAGCTTAAAGGAGTGTGGTAAAGGGCCGTGAGAAGGCAGAGGAAACAGAGCCAGGCAAGCCCAAGGCTGTTTGCTCTTGTCCATGTGTGATGAGAATGGCAGTGGTCCATACCCTGAACATTTGTCTAGTGGCCAGGACCATGATTGCTCTGAACATGGTCACCCTGTACTTTCCCTGGGTCTAGAGAGAGCTGCCCTAGCTGCACTTCACCTCTCGGCCACCAGGGATCAGAACGACTACATCCAGAGCCCTGCCAAGGCCCAGGCCTGGAACTCCAGTAAGACAATTCTAAAAGTCTTTCTCAAAGGGCAGAATTTGCTTTTAATGCTATCTCATTTCATATTTGTATTTCTTCTAAAGTTGACATTATATTTCATATGTATAAAAATATATGTAGCACACATGTATAATAAAGCACAGTAATAACAGAAACACTCATCAACAAGTAACTTAGGAACTAGGGCTTTACAAACACTGCAGCATTTACCTACTGTGTTTCCCCCAAAATAAGACACTGTCTTACATTTATTTTTTCTTAAGAAGATACACTAGGGCTTATTTTCAGGGGATGTCTTCCTCTCTACACTGAAATGCATGGCGTGGCTATGCAGACATGCTGTATAGCCACGCCCATCACTAGGTCTTATTATAGGGGTAGGGCTTATATTTAACCCATGCATAGAAATCCTGCTAGGGCTTATTTGGGGGGTAGGTCTTATTTTCGGGGAAACAAGGTATATTTTTCTCCAACTCATACCTCTGGCTCTCCCCCAGAGGTCATCAGTATCCTGAATATATGTATTTTTAATCATTCCTTTGATCTTTTTTTTTTTAAGTTGCTAATCAGACAGGTATAAACTTTCGGTTACGCAAGTATAAAATTTCAGTTATGCAAGATGAGTCCGTTCTAGAGAGCAGCTATACAACACTGTACCCAGAGTTAACATTACTGTATTAGACACCTACAAATATGTCAAAAGGGCAGATTTCATGTTAAGTGTTCTTGTCACAATAAGATAAAACTCACCATCCATGAAATGTACCATTTTAGAGCATACAATTCAGTGGCTTTTTAGTATATTCACAAGGTTGTACAACTATCATCACCATCTAGTTCCAGAAATTGTCATCATCCCCCAAAGAAACCCTGTACTCATTAGAAATCACTCTCCATTCACTGCCCCTCCCCCAGACTCTGACAACCATTACTCTACTTTTTGTCTCAGTGGGTTAGCCCACTCTCCCCATTTCATATAAATGGAATCATAACATATGTGAACTTTAATGTCTGCCTTTCAACGTAGCATAAGGTTTTCAAGGTTCATTTATGATATACCACATATTACTAGTATTTTACTCCTTTTTGTGGCTCGATAATATTCCACTATACAGATATCTTGTTCTTCCTTTTCAAAATACATTTAACATATGTATATAAATAATCCACTGTTTAATGTAGCTTTTTTGAGCTTTATAATTTAATTATATCATGTTGTGCAGAGTCTTCTAGGACTTGCTTTTTTGTTGAATAGTATGCTTCTGAGATTCACTATATTGAATATAGTTAATGAATTAACTATAGTTCATTCATTTTCCATATAATATTCCATGGTGCTAGTAAATTATCATGTATTAATCCATACATGGTTCCTTCCATTGGTTTTTTCCTCCCAATTTTGTGTTATTATGACTAGTGGAGTTGTAAATTTTGGTATGTTTCCCAGGGCATGCATGCAAGAATTCCAAGGTCACTGTTTTTCAATTCTTTTGACCACCACTCTCACAGGAAATGTATTTTACATTGCAGCCCAGTACAAACACATACATATTCATGTACACCAGAAACAACATTATAAAACTATGAATAAGGTACTCTATTTTCTATTCTACATTATTTCCTTTAAAAAAAAAAATGAGTAGGCTCCTGAATGAGTCACATTCTGCAGTTTGAATAATGTTCTAGAGACAAGCCTAGGAGTAAAGCAGTTCTTTGGGTTGTATGGTATGCAAATTGTCAGCCTGTACACAATAATTGGTTTTCCAAATTGGCCCTCGCCATTAGAATATCCAGCTATATGTGACTGTCTTCATTAACTCTACATCCTGTCAGTACTTGATACTGTCAAATATCTTAATTTTCACCAATCTTGAGGCACAAAATAGTCTTAATATGATTATTTTGTAATGGAGTTGGGCTTCTTTGTTTTTGTCATTCTTGTTTCTGCATTAATATGTGTTTTTCATGTCTTTTGCCCATTTTTCCAATGGGTTGAACTTACCGTTATTATTAATTTCTTATTCTGGATACTATATCTTTGTCATTAGGTGTGTAAATATCTCTTTCCAATTCATGGCCTGTCATTTCACTTTCTAAAATTGTCAATTGATAAGCATTTTTTTAATTCTAACATAATCGAGTGCAATGACTTTTGTGTCTTAAGATATTCTGTCTTACCCTGAAGTCAGAAAGATTTTTTTTCTAAAAATATAAAGCTTTATCTTTTACTGTTAGATCTTTTTTCCATCCAGAATTGATGTTTGTGTCAGGCCTGAGGTAGGAATCCAAGTTTTACTTTTTAACGTCCTGATAACCAGTTGTCCTGGCCCCAGCTGCTGACTGCCCCCCAGCCCTGCCCCACAATGTGCTGTGCCACTTTAGTCTATATCTGGTTTATCCTTATGTGTGTCTGTTTCTAGGCTTTTAATATACTTGCATTAAAATCACAGAGTCTCAATTACTACAATTTTATGATAATCTCATGTGGTGCAAACTCCCATCTTCTTTTAGGAAAGTCTTCACTATTCTTTTTTTGTTTTGTTTTGTTTTGTTTTTCTTTTGCTCTCGTATATAAATTTTAGAATCAGCTTGTCAAATTCACATAAAACAGTCAGGATTTTTTATGAAAACTGCAATAGATCTATCTATAGAACAGCTTGGGGAGAACTGACATATTTCTGATCTTGAGTCTCCTATCTATAAATAAATCTTTTCATTTGTTTAGGTTCTTTTCAGTAAAGCTTCATAAATGCTCTAATATAGGTCTTGGACATCTTCTGTCAGATTTATTCCTAAATACCTCATCATTTTTATTGCTATTTTAAATATGACCATGTGTTTTCTAAGTTTTGCTATACAGAAAAAAGCAATTGATCTTAAATAATCTTGTTAATTCTCTTATTATTTCTAATAATGTACCTATTGATGCCTTTGGGTTTTCTCTGTTGACATATGATCTATAAATGATACATTGTTGTTTTTTTCCAGTTTTCACACTATTTCTTTCTTGTCTTCATGCCCAAGCTAGGAATTCCAGTAAAATGCAGAATAGAACCAATGATGAGAACACACCATGCATATATGACATGCAAAGCCTTATTACTGATTTTAAAGAGGGTTTTATATTAATTATGAATGAATTTTTGTTTGACATTAATTACGAATGAATTTTCTATACCTATGGTTTTTTCCTTTATTCTATCAATGAAGTAAATTATATGTATAGATTATCAGATGTTAAATCATCCTTGAATTTCTGGGATGAAAACAATATCTTTTTAATAAACACATGGATTTGGTTTGCCAGTACAGTAGAACTGTAAGCTGACCACCCAAGGCCCTTAACAAATTGATCAACATACAGAGGTGGTCAACATAAGGAACCAGGCCTAGTGTACCAATACATACATGTGGTATATGTCTGGTCTATGAAAATTAGGTCAACTTTAGGAGGTCGTCTATGTAGGGAGGGAGTCAACTATGGAGGCTGAACTGTATTTTGTTTAGGATTTTTGCACCTAGGAGATAGAGCTGCAATTTTTATTTTATTATATTGGCCATGTCTGGTATGGTAGTTTTGGCCTCACAGAACAAGTACTTGCTCTCTTGCTATTCCCTGAAAGAGTCTGCAAAAGATTAGAATAATCTGATCTTGGAATGTGTGGTAGAACTAAACTGTAAAATCATCTGGGCTTTTTAGTTTCGTAGTAGGAAGATTTTAAATTGCTCATTCAATTAATTAATAGTTATGGCATTTTCCAGATATCTATTTGTCCTTTAATACATTTAGTGAGTTATAATTTTATAGGACTTT